GTGGGCAGAGAAGGCTGGTGGGAGACTGAAGGGCAACCCAGTGCTTTTGCTCCCTCCTGGCCCAAATAACCAGGGGCCAGGGTGGCCACAGCCCTTTCTGGAGTTCCGGGTCCTCTTCCCACCTCTCCACAGACCAGTAACCGCCCTGACTTTGCACCTGGGGTCAGTGGGGGTGTAAAGTCACCTGGGGGGCTGGTCAGGAAGAAAGGGGTCCACATCCCTACATCCCTTCCCTCAGGCCCTCCAGGACAGTGTCTTCCACTCTCTTCCCATCTCCTTCCTACAGTTGAATCTCTTTTCCTCACAGCGGTGGCCGCAGCCGGTGCCCGGACCAGCGGGGTCTTGTGGACCAGCCGGAAGTAGCAGGGGCAAAGCCCCTGGACACGGTGGCCGTGGTCAGGGCAGGTCTCTGCACAGACTCCGTGACGGCCACGCAGCCCTGACGGGCGACAGAATCGGCTCCTCCTGATGAGGGCTGACGAGGGTGCCCTCCCGGGACCCGCTGACGTGTCCTTACGACTCCCAGTGTGGCAGATTAGACTTGACCGGGTCAGACCAGCAGGAGGGAAGCCCGTGGGCCCTCGAGGATTGGGCTTGGGATTCCAGGTCGCTGGGTCAGGCAGGTTCCAGTTCTGATGCTGATGGGATGTGGGCTCGTGTTCGCTGCGCCTCAGCCAGCCCTCAGGAAGGGGCGATGCTGGGTGGCAGACGCGTCTCAGAGCTGCGTCTCAGAGCTGCCTCCCGCAAGCAGAGCAGGACGGTCTCCGCCCAGTCCTCGGTCTCGCCTCCTGCACCCACTCCTTCCCATGGGGGAGTTAGATGGGCCCAGGCTCCAGCCTGCACCCCAGGGTGGCTAGAGAGGGTGGGAGACACAGCAGCGCGATCACCAAGCGGCGCCTACATCCTGCTGACAACGCTGTGGATGGCCAGCTCGCTCCAGACGCAGGGACAGCAGGTGCTCACTTCTCCCTCACACAGAGCAAGCCCTTTCCAAAAGGCCAAGAAATGTCTGGAAGGATTGTTGATGTTCTCTATCATTTTATTTTTCGAATTTTGGCTTTGGAATTCCAGCATTCGGGATTGTGTCCTTGGAGTGTAACCCAAACCCTTTTGACTTTCATGATTTCAACACATACCTCCTATAGAAAAACATTTAAGTAGGGATAATAGGAAACAATCTAAATCTCTAAGATTATATTAAAACTCTAAATTGTACATCAAATATATTTTAATTAAGAGAATACACTCTGGGGCCTCCCTGGTCACGCAAGAAGTTTAGGCACAACCTATGAAGCTGTCCGCAACCACTGCAGCACAAGTTGGATGCCTGGCCAGGGAGGGGCCCACATGGCGCAGCAGACCTCTCCTGTCTCCTACTGCTCCCCTCAGCAGTGGATTTCAGTCTATCTGCCTGTTCTTCTCCCCACTCTGTCTCTGGAGAATCCTCTCACACCCCCCACAACTCTGGCCTGTACCCCAGTTATTGTACGCATAAGTAAATAATTTTTTAAATAAAATGAGTGGTTGAAATGTTAAAGGGTTTGCCTGAAAGGGTATCTAACATGCAAAAACAGATGAAAATGTAAACAGAGATAGGGAAACAGCATGACAGTCTCAAAAGGAAATTCTAAAAATCAAAAGTGCCATAGAGAAATGAGAAATGACCTTCTGGCGTTCATTGACAAGTGGACACAACCGTGGAAAGAATTAATGAGCTTGAAGATAATACAAATTCCCCAAATTGAAATGATAAAATAATAGAAAAGATAGAACAGAATATTCAAGAATTGTGTGACAATTTCCAGAGGAGCATAACTGGAATACAAGAAAGAGAGAAAGAGAGAATAAAACATAATAAATCCATCTTCAGGAACAATGGCAGACGAAGTTAATGACACCCCCCAAGCCACAGATGCCGTGATCTAAGAGAAACTGGGATAAATACCAAAACATCCACACTTGGCGTAGAGTATTTAAGCTGCAGAAAGACAAAGACAAAGAGAAAATTTTGGAAAGAGCCCCAAAGATCAAACACTTTACTTACGGAGGAGAGAGGGTAAGAACAGGAGCAGACTGCTCGTCAGAAGCCGTGCAAGGGGCATAGAGAGGAGTAAAATATTGAATGTGCTGAAAGTAGGAAACCACCAAGTAGACTCTGTATCAAAAACAGCCTTCAGGAGTGAATCGTAAAGACTCTCTCACGCAAACAAGAGTCAGGGATTCTATCACCAGCAAACCGGCCCCACAACAAACAGAAGTTTTTTAGGAGGAAGGAAAGTAACACAGGTCAGGAATCAGCTCTACATGAGGAAAGTAAGAGCATTTGTGTAGGAAATCTTTCATGTCTCTTATTCTGACCTGGCCTACTAGGTGATGTTTTGTTCACAGCGATGAAAGGAGCTTCGCATCACACGATGCCAGCACGTGGGTAACTGAAGTGAATGACAGCAGCGTTACGGCAGACGGGAGGCAGGAGCTGGGAATACTCTGTTATAAAGTACCTGGCTGATCCGGGAAGCAGTAGAACATCATTTGAAATTGGCATGAATTATTTGTAAATGTGTATTGCAAACTCTAGAGTAACCACTAATTTTTTTATAAAAGGAAGAACACTTGACATTCTAAGTACAGCACAGACATTTGGCTCCAGGAGCAAGAAGTGTCCCCTGCGTTTCAGACCGTGATAAGTCACAGACCCCACAGGTGGTAGGAGTAACCCTGTGAGAGCTCAAGGTCCTGCACCACCAACATGATGGCTAATTTGTCTGTCAATTGATGGGGTGACCGGATGTTTGGTCAAACCTTCTGGATGTGTCTGTGAGGATGTTTCCCACTGAGAGAAGCACCAGCAGTGGAGGAGATGCACAGAAATTTGCCTTCCTCCACGTGGGTGGGTCTCATGCAATCAGCTCAAGGCCCAAATGGAACAAAATGGTTGATTGAAAGTGAATTCCAGGGGCCTCCCCGGTGGCGCAGCGGTTGAGCGCTGGGTTGCGAAGCTGCCTGTAGCCTCCGCGGCGCTGTTTCGATCCCCGGCTGCTCCCCGGCCACCGGAGGAGGGTCCCGCATGGCGCGCAGACCTCTCCTGCCGCCCGCTGCTCCCCTCAGCAGTGTACTTCGGTCCTTCTGCCTGCTCTGCTCCCTGCTCTGGCTCTGGTGAATTCTCTCACCCTCCCGTGCTTCTGACTGTACCCAGTGCTTGTATGCAGGAAGGCTGTGCATGGCGTGGTCCTCCCCCACACCTGGACCCATCTTAGTGCTCACTGCCACACCTTCCCCAAAGGTGAAGCCTGGACAGCCTTCTGCACCAAGTGCCTGAGATGACCCTCCCAGCAACACCTGCTCCTGGCCTCGGGCACAGACTGGCCACCAGATCTTCCAGCTCCTCAACTGTGGAGTCTTCACCATCAGGGTCACTCTCTATCTGATGCCTCTCCGGGCCCATGATGGTCACGGGCATTTAGCTGTAACCCACACATGAAATTCATAAAGACTGTGATTTGGTTTATGTTACCACTCAGCAAAGGAACAGCTTCTAGAATTCGGAGTCAGATGCCAAAGCTCACTTCAAACACTTTGTCATGATAGATTGCTCTGTCAGGCAACACCACACTGATAAAGAGACGGGAGTGGTGGAGCAGGCTACATGATGCGGGATGCTGCTGAAGAGCAAGATCCTGGCCTTTTTATTGATTCACAGCATCGGTGTAAGGGGGCAGAGCAAAAGGAAAGAGGAAGGAGATGAAGGGGAAGGAGATTAAGGAAAGGGGAGGAATATAGAAGATCAGGGGTTGTGAATCTGCCCTCCAGGTGCTTCTCATCTGCTTGATGACTCGGTGTTGTCATGGAGATCACACCCTAATCCCCCCACCCTGGTTTTATTCTTATCAACAAGGCGTTCCACTGATCAGCTTCTGGGGTCCCTTGTTATACATCTACCCCGGTGTTCCCGGTCATACTCGTGAAGCACACCCTTCCCAGCGTGATCCAGCTTTGTGCTCTTGATGGATCTCAAGGGCACCTTGCGGGGCTCCTGGACCTAACTGACCAGGCCCTTCTGACCTTGCTTAGGATTCAGAACCGTAGGCAACAAAATGGCGGCCAAACAGGCCGCTTAGGATTAGCAGACCCACACTAGGTCACAAGTAACTCCGTCATGCTCTCGTAAATATTGGAGTATTTTTAAACAATGACGTCAAATTTCTCTTTATCTGGGTAACCTGAGAAAATGAGATGCGCCCACCGCCTACACAGAGCAAGCACAAACCCCAGGCAGTGCTCACATCCCGCCCCAAGGGGTTATCCCCTCGGCTGAGCCCCGCGGCCCAGCTGCCCACAGCCCAGTGGCAGCACCCACTCCCCCCTCGAGTCCACACTCTGAGTGCCCGATGCGCCTGCTTTGGGGTAAGGACGCTGTCTCCCCTGCACGGAACGCGAGCTGCTCCCACCAGCGTCCTCAGATCGGTCGTCACGAAGACACCTGAGCCTGTTCCGGATCAGAACGCGCGTGACACCAAAGGAGAAGACAGTGACGTCTAGCGCTGTAGACACTGCTTTCCTGCAGAGCAAGGAGGGCGTGGGTGGAAATGAGAGAGTGAGAGGAAGGGAGTGAAGCAGCGGCCCCAGGAGCCTGCAGCGCGGGTGTGTCCGGAGGGCATGAGAGGAGGAGAGGCTGGGCTAGTTCTCCAGTCTTTTGTTTTTCTTCCATTTCTTTTTTTTGTTTTTTTGGTGGGACCCTCGCCGGTGGCTGGGGATCGAACCAGCGCTGCAGAGGCTGTGGGCAGCCTTGCAACCCAGCGCTCAACTGCTGCGCCACCAGGGGAGGCCCTTTTCTTCCATTTCTTATTGAGATTTCTTATATGAACCATGTTTCTCCCTTGAGCTCCCCCAGCCCCACCTCACCCCTCGGTTCTTAGGATAAACCCCACTTAGTCAGGACGCGCCATTGCTTACAGTGATTCTCTTTCCTCACATTGCCCTCTAGGTCCAACCCGGTGTCCATGGCTGACAGCGAGGACAACACTCTGAGGATCGTGCTCGTGGGGAAAACCGGAAGTGGGAAAAGTGCCACAGCGACCACTCTCCTGGGGAAGAATGTTTTTGAATCTAAAATGGCACCCACGCTGTTACCAAGACGTGCCAGGTAGAATCCCAGGTATGGCTGGGGAGGAGCCCTCTACTTGTCGACACCCCGGGGCTCTTTGACACCAAGGACACCCTGGACACCACCTGCTTGGAGATCAGCCGGTGCGTCCTGCACTCGGCCCCGGGGCCCCACGCCGTAGTCATGGTGATGCAGCTGGGCTGCTGCACAGAGGAAGAGCAGAAAACTATCAAGTTGATCAAGAACGTCTTTGGGGATTCTGCCATGAAGCACATGATCTTCTTGTTCACGCACAAGGATGATTTGGGGGACGATAGCCTGAGTGAGTTTATAGCACAAGGACCCGAGCCGCTAAGAAGCATGGTCAGGGAGTGTGGGGGCCGCTGCTGCGCCTTCAACAACAGGGCGGGGGAGGCCGAGAAGGAGGCTCAGGTGCAGGAGCTGGTGGGTGAAGATGGTGCAGAGCAACGGAGGGGCCTGCTTCTCTAACAACATCTACGAGGACATGGAGAAAAAGCTCAAAGAAAAGGAGGAGAAGTTGAAGCAAAAGTACATGGAGCAATTACATGAAAAAATTAAACAGGTAGAAAAGGAAGATGCTGATAAACCAAGGGAAGACAGGGAAAGGAAAATCGAAGCGCTGCAGAGGCAATGGGAAGAGCAGAGCAAAAATGCAAGGGATGAAGCTAAGGGCGGTGTGCTTGACGACATTGTGAATTTTGTAAATTGGGTCAAGGATAAACTGTCAGGAGTATGGGACGGGTTTTGGGAGTAATGTCAGCCTCAGCTTCCTTCCCAGTCTGCGGTGACGCTAATGCGGTACGTGCGTCCCCACGTGAGGCCGTGGCAGTGTCTCCTGTCTTCCTTGTCCCTGCACCCTGACCTTGCTCCCGCCGTTGAGCAGAGGGGTCTGTGTCCCTCCCTGACGTGGGTGAACAGCAGGTGGCTGACGCAGCCCCAGGACTTCTCAGGTGGAGCCGGAACCTGCCCCCTGCTCCCTTGGGTGCTCACCCTTGGACCGGCCACCATGTGGTGAGCAAGCCCACGGGACCACCGAGAACCCTCCATGGACAAGAGGTCCACTCACTGGCCCATCCAGGCTGACCTTCCATCTGCAGCACAAGTGAGGTGCTCCCGTCATGCAGACGCTTAGGGAGGGGCCCGTCTGCAGCACGCAAGGGCACGCTTGCAGGCAGCCGTGAGTCTGGCAGGACTGACCGTAAAGTGACGGGAGCCCAGAGGCCTGGAGCTGGCAGGCAGCGGTGCTCTCACTGGTTAGGTGTTCAGGGTGGACGCTGCATTTTCAGTGCCCCCCCGTGAGCTACTCACGGCGACAGGAAGCCCTTGCGGCTGCATCCATGCTGGGCTGTGCGTGAACCTCCCGGGAGCCCAGGCTGTGGGGTGGGGCCGGGTCCCCGCAGACCTGGTCTGGTGTCCCTCCTGCATGTCCCACCTTCAGTGGCTGTTTCTTCCCACCCCTGTTTCCTCTATAAATGTGGGGATTTGTGGGGCATGCCCAGCCACTCCAGTGTGGGCCGTCCCTGCGTGTCCTTCTAGGGCATCATGGAAGAAGGGCTTCAGGACGGAGAAGGTGCCTCCAGACAAGGCAAGGGTCTTGCGAGCTTTTTATGAACTTGGGGGCCAGGACCTGAGCATCGGGGAGCAAACTCCCCTCCTTGGGGTGACTCAACTTATCAGCAACGCAGGACATGCATCTCCCCAGGAAATGTCACGTGGTGGGCTATTTGCTTTGATGTTCTCCGTAGTGAGGTTACATTTTTCTAGTAAAACCCTGTCATTTTGTAAGACAGAGATCAGGCAGGAAGGACAGGAGTGGAAAGTAGGGGCCAATCAACTCCTGGTTGTGGGAGGCCCTGAGCATCACTTTGGGTGGGAACAAAATAGAGAGAAGGTTCTAGAAGGGCGGCGGCAGTCGTGGAGGAAAGAGCCCAGGGGCTCTGCCCAGCTGGGGTGATGTGGCCTCCCAGCCCTGCCTGAGTTCCTTTCTTGCTTTTGTTGAGGGGCAGTTGGGGTTCTCGGTGCAGCCCCGTGACGGCAGGAGGGCATGAGGCCTCCTTGGCGCCGCAGCCTGGGTGGGAAGCAGCAAATCTCTCTCAGTCTGGAGGCCGGGAGGTCCAAGGTCAAGGTGCTGGTGGATTTGCGTCTGGGGAGGACCCACTCCTGGGGCTGTGTCCTCACCTGGTGGAGAGAGGCCCCTGGACTCCTCTACTTACAGGGACACTATCCCCTAATCACGGGGGCTCCACCCTCACGACCCCATGGAAACCAAACCTCCTTCCAGAGGCCCTCATGCTGGGGACGGGTTTCAGCTGAGGAACCCAGAGGGAGGCAAACCTGCTTTCATGCCCCCACAGGAGGAGGAGAGTGCTCAGGGCCAGGGCAGGCCCCGCTGAGGATCGTGCTGGTGGGCAAGACGGGCTGCGGGAAAAGCGCCACCGGGAACAGCATCCTCCACTGGCAGGTGTTCGAGTCCCGGCTGGGGGCCCAGGCCGTGACCAGGAGGTGCCAGAGGGAGGCGGGCACCTGGAACGGGAGGAGCCTCCTGGTGGTCGACACGCCCCCCATCTTTGAGGCAGAGGCTCAGACAAGGGAGATAGCCCAGGACGTCGGGGACTGCTACCTGCTGTCCATCCCCGGGCCCCACGCGCAGCTGCTGGTGACCCAGCTGGGCCGCTTCACGGAGCAGGACACGCAGGCCGCGAGGAAGGTGAAGGAGGTCTTCGGGGCAGAAGCCATGAGACACGCGATTGTCCTGTTCACCCACAAGGAGGACCTTGGCGACGGGTCCCTGCACGATTACGTGGCCGATACAGACAACCAGAGCCTGCGGGCGCTGGTCCGGGAGTGCGGGAGGCGCTACTGTGGCTTCAACAACTGGGCACGGGGGAGGAGCAGAGGGTGCAGCTGGGGGAGCTGATGGTCCTGGTGGCGCAGCTGGAGAGGGAGCTGCAGGGCGCCTCCTTCCTCAAGGGCTCTGAGCCCTCCAAGGACCAGACACTCTGCAAAAAAGGGGGTGTTTGTCTTGTTTGTTCTGCTGACCTGTTCCTGTTTCTCTTGCCATCTTCCACCCTCTTTCACTCCAGCTGGCATCTGCACGTCAGAGCATGTTCTAAACAACACCCCGTGGGTTCACGGTCCTCGAGTCACCGATTCTGGAATGAATGTCCTGTCCACAGAGAACAGGCTGCTGTCCCTGCAGGTCCCTCCCTTCTGCCTCGGACACTCCTGGGGGGCCTGGACTCTGCCTGGCTGGCACCGAGCCCTGTGCTCCAGCAGAGGACAACAGCCCAGCCCCGGGCCGCCTGGTGGCCTGCAGGCGCCAACCTTAGTCTCTTTGCCCCGACGAGCTCATGGATGGGTGTGATGCCTCGTTTTAGGCCAACGAGTCCCTCAGAAAGACAGTCTCTGTCTCAGATCCTTCTTGGATCTGAGGGTGATGTCTGGAGCGCCAGCCGGCATCTTGCCACTAGGGTGGGGTGAAGTCAATGCTTGAGAGTAGAACAGAGATGACACAGACCTGAACCCCTGAGTCACTGCTCCCGAAGCCCAACTTACCTCTGAATTCCCCATTATTTCAGAATAAATTCCCTTATTGATTAAGCTATTTGAGTTTTGGTCTTTTTCTTACCTACATTTGAAAGCATTTGACTCCATATTTCTTTTTTTTTAATGATTTTTTTTTAAGATTTATTTATTTATTTATACAAGCACTGCGTATAGTCAGAAGCGCAGGAGGGTGAGAGAATTCACCAGAGCCAGTGTGGGGGACAGAACAGGCAGACAGACGAAATACACTGCTGAGGGGAGCAGTGGGCAGCAGGAGAGGTCTGCACGCCATGTGGGACCCTCCCCGGTGGCCGAGGATGGAACCGGCGCTGCAGAGGCTGCGGGCAGCTTCGCAACACAGCGCTCAACCATTGTGCCACCAGGGAGGCCCGACTCCATATTTTTTTTTTTTTAAATCCTTAAGCCTCTCACGGTTCCTCTGAAATATGAGAACACGCGTCAGGGTGGAGGACATGGCCTGGGGACAAGGGACCAGATTTCTCTTGTTCTTAGATTTCGGTGGGACCCGGGGCCTGCTCAGGGGCCTGGTCAAGTAACTGCTCACAGACTCTGAATGAAGTGACAGATACTCAGAGCAGGACTGTTTGGGAGAATATGGGGGAGGAGGCAGGGCCGGGTGGTGGGGTGGGGGGGGGTACGGAGCAGGAACACACAGCTCAGGAGCTCACTCCCAAGGAATTTTTTTCCTGAACATTCCCCCTGAGTAAAGGGCTGGCCAACCCTTCTCCTCCACGGCTGCTTATCTCCAGGTCACGCTCCAACCTCTGCTCCTCCCACATCCACAAAGGCGGGGGCCCTCTGGGTCACAGGCAGCGCTGCTTGTGGGCAAAGTGTGGGTGCTCTGTTCCCCATGGGAGCCTGGGAATGACCATTGGCACCCTGGCGGGAGCCACCCTCCTATAGCCCTGCCCTTGACACTTCCTCAGGCCTGGATCACGCATCAAGGGTCTTTCCTACAGGGAGGATGGGATCCCCCCGCGATTGTCTCCCAGACTGGACATGCCCCAGAGGCCTTCACGGCCACACATCCAGATCTGAAGTCTTCACCTTTCTGCTCTCCCTCCGCAGGCCCTGGGGGTGACGGGAGCACAGTCACCAGATGCCCAGGATGACACTGGCTGCCTCCCCGACTGCTGTCCCTCCACCTCCTCTGTGCCTCAGGCCCATCCTCCCCTCCCTGCTCCGCTCCCATCCACACAGCCCTGGTTCTGACCCCCCAGATGGGATTCTTTCTCCCCAATACTCCCCCAGTCCCCAGGCTTGCCTTGTATTTCCAACCACCATGTGCAATCTTCCCAGTACACCAACCCTTGCCCTGTGACATAGCCCTTGGCCCTGGTAGCCCAGGCCCTGCCAGTGCCATCTCTCCCTGCACCCTCTCTCCATGGCTGATCCCACTCCCTTCCTGGGCTGTGGCCTGCCTCAGCCTGAAGTGACTCCTGGGAGAGGCCAGCACCACCCTGTCCAGGGAGCCTCTGAAGGGCCAAGTATAACCTTTTGTTGGCTGACACCCCACTTCCAAGCAACATCACGTTTACCCCATTTTTCTATGACTTCATCCCCAGTGACTTCTTCCAAGCAGGAACCTTGTGTTATCTACCTTATGTTCCTTGCTCCCAGCAGAGAGCTGGGCACTCATGGTCCTGTCTTAGTGTCTGTGTAGCAGGACCAAGTGGAGCCAGGAGGGATGGACAAATTAGGTTGGGCAGTCTGGGAAGGCTGCATGGAGGGGGTGGTCCTTGGCCTGAGAACTCTTCAAGGGTTTGAGGAGGTTACATCTGGGCCCTTGCGCAGGCTGTGAATCACTTACTTGCAGCCCTGGAGAGTAACACAGCAGCTTTACTGCCCACGGAGGACGATGGACAGAGCTCACAGAACCAGCCCTGTGCCTGCGCCCCCTCCCCCCCTCCCCTCCCCTCCCCTCCTGCCTAGGCCCCTCAGCCCCTCGGCCCGCGCCCTTCCTGCAGCCAGGCTCCAGGGCTGTGGCCAGGTCCCTGGGGTTCACCCTCAGACTTTTTAACAACAACCAGAGACGCCAGCTTTTCCTCTAGGCTTTATTTACTGAAAAGGGCTGCGATCCTGCCGGGGGAGGGGCTGAAAGTGCCCTCACGAAGGGAAGGGAAGCCCCGACGGGCAGCGGGCGGCTCTGAAGGGAAGGCGCGCAGAGCGTGTCCCCTGTGCTCAGTGGCCACCAGCCCCAAAGTAAATTAAAAGGGCAACAGAAACCAACACGCACACGCCAAGGAAGGCAGAAGTTCCGGGGTGAGACATCACCCAGCTCCAGACTCTGAGGAACCCCCTCATCACCCCTGAGCTCTGGGTCTCTCTCAGCTCTTCCTTCTGCTTTTCCACCTGTGCCTGCACCTTGGCCAGGAAGGCCCTGAGCTCCTGCCCGCAGGCCCCGCCCCTGCCCCGCAGCAGCAGCAGCTCAGCCTCCGAGAAGAGGCTGTTTCTGAGGTGGGCGCCCTGCAGCTCCCTCTCCAGCTGCTCCACCAGGGCCATCAGCTCCCCCAGCTGCACCCTCTGCTCCTCCCCCGTGGCCCGGTTGTTGAAGCCACAGTAGCGCCTCCCGCACTCCCGGACCAGCGCCCGCAGGCTCTGGTTGTCTGTATCGGCCACGTAATCGTGCAGGGACCCGTCCCCCAGGTCCTCCTTGTGGGTGAACAGGACGATCGCGTGTCTCATGGCTTCTGCCCCGAAGACCTCCTTCACCTTCCTCGCGGCCTGCGTGTCCTGCTCCGTGAAGCGGCCCAGCTGGGTCACCAGCAGCAGCGCGTGGGGCCCGGGGGCGGACAGCAGGTAGCAGTCCCCGACGTCCTGGGCTATCTCCCTTGTCCGAGCCTCTGCCTCAAAGATGGGGGGCGTGTCGACCACCAGGAGGCTCCTCCCGTTCCAGGTGCCCGCCTCCCTCTGGCACCTCCTGGTCACGGCCTGGGCCCCCAGCCGGGACTCGAACACCTGCCGGCGGAGGATGCTGTTCCCGGTGGCGCTTTTCCCACAGCCCGTCTTGCCCACCAGCACGAGCCTCAGTGAGGACGAAGCTGTGATCCTGTCATCTCCTGCCCAGCCTGTGTGTGAAAGAAAGAGGGAGCTTTCTGTGCCCTACTGAGTAATTCTGAGGATTCTGGTCACAGCTCCTCATGGACGCCCTGGGCCTCTTTCCCAGATGGACAGTCCTATTGGAACACGTGCCAAGTTTTGTAGGCAACGTAGGAGGCTCTTGGGCAGAAGGGGACCCCCAGGGCAAGCCCCGGCTGTACCAGTAACAGGGGGGTCCCCAGGAAACGGGGAGGTTCCAGGTTTCCTGCGCCACCCCAAGGAGGGTGGACTGAGCAGAGAGAGAAGAAGCTGCAGAGGAGACTGAGGATGGAAGGAAGCAGGATGGAGCCAGAAGGAGCCCTGGAGGAGGCACATGGAGCAGAGACACGTGAAGAAACTGCGCTTGTGTTTTGGTCGTGGACTGGGTGACTCAGATGTGGGGGAGACCCGTGGGGAGGTGACAATGGCAGTTTTCGTCTTGACTTTGATTTTGCTCTTTTCCCTCCAGACGTGTCTGGTTGTTTCTGACCCTTTTCTGTGGGTCCCCACTGGAAGGTGCCTTAGACTTGGGACAGGCTTTGGGGCCTTGCTCTGGGCCAATCCTGCTTGGGTGGACTTTTACCCACGAGGGGACAGGTCACTTTGGGTGCTTGATTTAAAAACAAGATTCTTTGCCTTTCCTGTCTTGTTCACTAATTGTGATAAAGTTTCTTCCTATTAAAGTCTCATATGTTTTCTGTTGATGCAGCAGATGGCAGAACCTATTTAGAGCAGGCAGATTTTCCGGGACTGGGCTGCCCCCTCTCTGCCCTGTAACATACCCACAGCCCAGAGTGAGTCCTGCTACTCCAAGGAGGGGGCCCCATGCCCGTCCTCCAGAGCAGCCCCCGGGCCTGCAGAAAAAGGGCTTCCATGGATGGTTCTTACCAGCTTCAGGCTGAATAACGTGAATTAGAAGTCACGAGTGAGAAAACCCCCAGGTGTGCTCGGGTGGAAGCACCCACAGCTCAGCCTGGGGAGAAAGGAAGTCTCCAAGGTCGCGGCCTCGTGACCTCCACCCAGGGTCAATTGGGGGGGTGTGCCCTTTGGGTGGGGAGTTGGGTGTTGAAATGGGGAAGCCTGAAGGGTCTGAGTTGATGTCAAGGAGAGCCTGGCAGTGACCTCGGGTGGGTGGGGAAGATGTTCCAGGACACGTGCTGGGAGGATCATCTACTGGGCTGATGGGAATCCGGGAAATTATAACAAAAGTGGAGCTGGAGAGGGTGACCTGGAACCAAGAACTAGCACGTTGAAGGTCTGAAGAGATGAGAACCCAAGGATTGCTGCGTTTGGGGAGCCCAGATGAATTTAGTTCCTCAGGCTCCTCAGGGCCCTGGTTTATTCCTCCTGCTGCAGTGGTTTTCCTGTCCTTCAGGAGCAAAATGATAACTAAACCTCCGAGGGGAAGGTTTCCTCTCTTCAGCTGAGAGCAGGAGCAGAAGCAGCAGCAGAAATCATTGTCTCACAATTCAGTTCCAAATCCTCCACCCTGTGGCCAGAAGTTTCATCTCCATGTTTCCCACAGGCCGCGCCGGGCGCCCCCCCCCCCAGGGCATGTGATGGTGGAGGCAGGCGGGGGACAAAGAGCAGCTGCCTCTCTCGCCTTCAGGTTAAACCACTGGCTTCTGCTGCCGTGTTTAAGGGAGGGGCAGGGGCATGTGGGGGAGATAGTGAGCCCCCCACACCCCCAGGGCCGGAGGTCTCCAGTGCTTTGGGGCTTTCTCACCTTCAGCCATAGTCCCGTAGCTGCTCTTCTGAAGGCCTTCCATTCCCTTCTGGAATAAAAACAGAAATGAAAAGTCGAGAAGGTCTGAGAACACCTCACATTCAGACACCTGAGCATCGTTATCCTCGGGGAACTATCTCCTTGGGCCATTTTCTATTTTATTTCTATTGTATTTTCAAGCATCTGTAAATCACTCAGCAGCCGGGGGGGAGGCTGTGTCACACCCTGGACTGGAGCGTCTCTCTCCCCTCTTCTCACTCCTTACGAGAAAGCAGAAACTGTTTTTAAACAAATCCACGGAGGGTCTCCTCTCCCCTTGAGAAAGCATGAAGTGAAGAACGCATTCCCCTGGGGGGACAGTGGCCAAGCGCCCTAAGAGTCTCCTCCACTCCTCTGGCCCATCCCTGTGTTTTCCGGGACCCAGGTCACGGCTCTAGTTCCGTGAGTGTGAGTCTGTGACACTTTCCCCCACAGGCTCGGCCGATAAAGGGATGGATTTCTTCCATCCACTCCCCTGAACTCGGGTGGGCCTCAGGCTGAGTCCCTCATCTTGTCACCATGAGTGTGTATTGGGGAGAAGGGGGCAGAGGCGACGAGGGAACTTGTAGCTCGTGGGGTGGGAGATACTGAGGCCACATCTGCCCTACGGGACCTCAAGGATCTGCTCCCCTCCCCCAGGGTCACTGGGCCACGGACACTCCAGGACGGGCTGCGGGGAGGGAAATGAGAAGTGAGGAGGGTAAGATGAGGTGTGTGTCCTGGCCTGGTTCCCGCAGCAGGGAGTGCTGGGGGTTCCCTTTTCCCATCTGACAACCGGGTTGAAAATATTGGTCCAGCTTTATGGAATCCTGCGTGGCCCCGAGACCCCCTGGGCTAAGAAGTAGAGGATCTGCTGGCCCAGGCCGGCGCGGTGGCCGTGGCTGAGTGGGACTGTGGGGTGCTGCTTCCCACACTGGTTTTCCACCCACCTAGACCTGCTCTTGCCCAGAATGCGCCCACCATCGCCTGGAGGTGGGGTAACCTGTGTGAGACCCCACCAGAAACCAGAGGCAAGAACTAAGCTGTGCTCTCTGGGTCCCCATAGATGTGGGGACCCTCCCTGGCTCCCCTTACCAGGCGCAGTGCTGCGGGCTAGCTGCTCCGAGGCTGTGGGCAGCGGGACAGGGCGGTCCTTGGGAAGAGTCCTGTCTGCCAAGGGACAGACCCGGGAGCCAGTGGTGCTCAGTGAGGGCGCAGCAGGAAGCCTGGCGGATGCAGTTAAGGAGGAGCCTGCGTGTGGCTGAATGGCGCAGAGCACAGCTGCAGGGAAAAGAAAACAGAAAGATTGAGGAGTGGATCCCCAGCCCCCCAGCAGAAGGGAATCTCTTCCCGGGGTCACAAACTGTCACAAACAGGACCCAGTCCTAGGAGACTCAGCTCCCCTTAACCAGAGCTTCCTGCTAAACCTGCCCTAGTCAGCCCCCCACCCCCATTTCCTTTTCAGAACTTGTTAAAATAAGGAGGGAGAAAATTTGGAGGGAAAAAATGAAGAAGGCAGACGGGGCTCCAGATGCAGAAAGGCCTCCCCTCCACCCAGAACATCCCTTGTGGGGTGGCCGTCGCCCCCCTCGGCCCCCATCCCGGGAGTACCTACTCTGGCGACTCTCCGGCCCTGCCTCCTCAAGCTGCAGCCCCCAGAAGGCTCCTGCTGACCAGGGACAGAGAGGGCTGCCGTCCCCAGGGGGCGGGGAGAGCCGCTCCCAGGAGGCGCCTCTGACCAGCTCTCCATGCGCTGCAGGGCGGCTCTGCGCTCCCACTGGTCAGACCAGCCCGTGCTCAGGGGCTGGAGCTTAAGGGCGTGTATTCAAGGGGGGACCCCTGGCCGCGCCGTTTGTCTACCCAGGGCTCCCCGAGAGCGTCATGAGCGTGAAACCACCGAGCTGCACAGTGAGCCGGAGAGCACAGTGCGCGCGGCCAGGGGCCTCTCCCGAAGTCTGTGCATGTCTCCCTCCACTTCTGAAGTAAGAACAATCGGGGGAAACAAAACAATCACTTGCCAACCCAGAAAGACTCTCCCCTAAAATGAAGAGAAAGAGCGATTTTACTATCAAGTGAGCATTGAGCTCGGCGGCCGTGAGGCGCAGCACAGGCAAACCCCAGAGACGGCCCAGCCCAGGAACCCTTCTGTGAAACCCCCCCGCATCCATGGTCTCAGGATCAATCACGCTGGTCCTCACACGGAGGGTCAGCCAGCCCACTAGCTGTTACCACAGTTCATCTCACACTCACACGGTGATGGGGAGGGGGCGCCTGTGTTCCCTGATTGCCTTTATTCAAAGGAAAAGTCAACTTCTCATCTCTTCATGACGAGAGTTGGGGCTGCAGGGAGCTGGGCGTCTTGAAGTCAGGCTCCTCCCTTCGCTCCGAGCCCGAGTGGTTGCTCCCTGCCTTCAGGCTCACCTTCACAGAGATGCCTCTCCCGTCCTTGTTCTACACAGACAATCACATCACCTCGGAGTAAAGACTTGACTATGTCCCTTCCAATCTGCGTGATTTTTCTGTCTTTTCTTTGCGGCCTTGTGTCGCTGGCTGGACGTCCATTCTGATGCTGAACAGGAGGGAGGATGAAGCTGACCTTGAGGGAGAATCATCGTCTTACACCTTCTTTTCTTACTCACTTTCAGCCTCTGTGCTTTACTGATGACTAAGAGATCTAAAGTCTCCCCGTATAACTTTGCATTTGTCTATTTAGCCTTTTGATTTGTTTCGTTTTTTCTTCCTGTATTTGGAAGCTGCTGGGGGTGGATCATGTTTGGGACTGCTGGGTCTTCCTGGAGAGTCCACACATCAGCCTTAGTAACGTCTGTCTTTATTGTTTAATAGTCCTTGTTCTATGGATGAACTTTCTACTCATATAGTAATTCATATAGTAATTTTCTTTTCATAACTGTGTTTATGATATTCCTTTCCCCATTCTTTTACCTTTACACTGTGTTTTTATGCTAGGCAGAATTCTAGGATGGGGCCCAAGATCATGCCCTCCCCCCTCCAGCTGTGTACAACCCTGGCTCACCCCCTCCCCTTGCATGTGGGCAAAAGTGTGAATAAGGTGGATGTTACTGTCTTGGTTACATAGCAAAGAAAAAGAGACTCTTAATAACATCTGTACACATAATTAAGCTTCCTAATCAGTTGGTTTTGGCTTAGTCCAAGGGAGGCTTGTGCTGGATGGGTCTGGCCTCACTAAGAAAAGGATAATCCTGCCAGCTTGGAGGAAAGCAAATGTCTATGTTGTGAACTGCCTGTGAGGAGAATCAGCCTCCAGGAGATTCTAGAAGGACTGCAGTCCTGTAACTGCAAGCAGCTCAATTCTGCCAACAACCTGAGTACATTTAGGGAAGGGCCTGGAGCTCCTGGTGAGAACACAGCACGGCAGCACTTGGTGGAAACTGAGCAGAGGGCTCGCATAAGCCTCGGACCTGGCCCACAGACACTGTGCGATAATAAATGTAGGTTTCCTTATGCTCCCAGGTCTGTGTGTGTCCTTATTTTACAGAGCCTGGCTGATTGGCTAGGCAGCAACAGAAAATAAATACATTTGTAGTATTTACAATGAGTTTCTTGTAAATAGCATATAACTGGTTTCTTTCATCCAGTGTTATGGTCTCTGCTTTTTATTCTGGGGCATTTAACCATTTATCACAGTCTACCTGTAAAAAATATTAGACCACTTCATGTGTAGTTTAAGAAACATAATATACTTGTGACTTCTCCCATATATTGTTTGACTTTTAGGTATGTTGTAAATTCCCCAATGCATTATTACTATTTTCACTTTATACAGTCAATTAATTCTGAACAACAAAATGTTAGAAAAATGTCTTTTATATTTTATCTTCTTTTTGGCATCTCTGGAGCTTTTACTTTCCTTATGTAAGATAAATTTATGTTTGGTATCATTTATTACTTTTGGCTAAAGAACTTCTAATTTTTCTTGCAGTCCAGGTAAGCTGGCAAAGAATTATCTCAGTTGTTATTAGTGAGCTAGTCTTTATTTTACCTTCCTGTTTGAAAGATTTCTTTATTGTCTATAGAAATCTGTCAAACAGAATTTGCTTGCTCTGCCAATAAAGCATTCACATGCCTCTCCTACAGAGAATTCCTGTAAACCATTAAGGAGAAGATTTTTAGTTCATTGCAGCTCCACACACAATCGCCAAGACATGGATACAACCTAAGCACCCCCAGCAGAGGAGCAAGTCGAGAAGACGTGGTCTGTAACACAGTGGAGCACTACTCAGCCATCAAAAAGATAAACTCGTGACATCTGTGCCACGTGGGTGGCGCTGGAAGGGATGATGGTAAGGGAGCCAGGAGGAGAAGATAAATACCAGAGGGTGTCACTGGTGTGTGGAATCTAAAGAAACCAAACAAAGGGTCAGACAAAGACAAACATGAAAACCAATTCTTGAAAGCTGACCAAAGATCTGGAGCATCTAGAGGGGCAGAGGGAGGGAGAGGAGGGCAGGGGCAGGACACAGTGGACGCTGGGGAAGGGCCATGGTGGCTCAGTGACGGGAGTGCTACTGCACCTGAGCAGGGACATCCTCTACCATCAAAACCCTAGCAAGGATGTCAAGCAATGGCTCTGCAATGAAAGAGAAACAGCAGAAGGAAAGGAAGCAAGAGAGGAAGACAGAACATCCTTGTTGTTTTTCAGTGGGTGGTATTTATTAATATCAGCCCTGATGGGCTCAGCCAGGGTCTAAATTTTTTTTAATGCTCAAAATAAAAATCCTTTTCTCTTTGCCATGAGTCCATTTTCTACTAAAACATGACTGGTCGTTTCTATTAGCTGCACACAGACTACTGAAACACCCAAAGGATGCTTCAAAGTTAGACACATTTATTTTCAGACTGTGGACAGACAGTCAAAGGGGAACTTGAAAACTTAAGAAGTGAGCCGGAGCCTGTGTGAAACTGAGCAGTGTTCCAAGCTCCCGTGTCATTAAAACTGGCTCTGAAATGCCGGCTTCCTTGGGAATGAAATTCTCATTTCCCCGCTCAGCTCTGGGGATGCCCTTCCTGTCTTGTCCGCTCCCCTAAAGGCGGTTTATATGACATACGAGGAATCAGGAAAATGCGGCTGCTGAGATAGTTCATAGAAGCAGAATCCCAGATGATGTATTCATTGGAATTTTCAGTCACGAACTTTAAAATAGTTGTTCCAGAATCAGCCCTTCAACCTGGCCGATCAGCCGGGGCTGGCGGCCTAGAGCTCGGGCTGGCGAGGTCAGCTCAGCCTTCCCTGTCTGCTCCTCCCAGGGGCCTGCAACTCCGGGGTTAGCAGCACACTCTTTTTTAATATTGTGTGCTTCGCTGGGAGTTCTCCTTATTTCCCAGCGAGCTCATCGGTCATAAGGATTCTGTTTATTCTGCTAAGCCTGTCTTCTATCTGCACTGAACAGGACGAGGCTTCAGAAGGTCCACCCCCCCACCCACCCACCCTTGTCTGGGAGTTGGCCTGTATGTTTCAGGGCTCCCTGGGCTCGGGGTCAGGATGGAATCTGGCTGAGCCTCCGACAATGCTAAGCACCTGTGATGTGTGTGAAACAGACTGTTGGGGCGTGAGCGGGTCTGCGCGTGGCTGTGGGCCTCAAGTGGGCTCCATTATAGAATAAACTACCATGTGTCCACCCACCATGGGGACAAAACCACAGGACAGAATCAAGTATGCTCTCAGGACCTTCACAGCTGACTTATCACTATAATTTTGTTCTATTCCGTTAAAGTGTAGCTTTTATTTTATTCTATTCAGTAGCAGTAGTATTTTAAAGAAGAAAAAGTTTCCAGGAGCGTACATTGACCTTAGAGATTTGCAAATGAGAAGAATTTTATATTTACAGTTTTCAAAGGTCCTGTCGCTATATTTCAAAATAGACAGTAACTTAAAATCACCGGGTTCATTGATCAAGAAAGAGACGTAAAGATGTAAACACTCACAGACCCTCACATACTGAGGCCCCGGGGACCCTCCTCCACCCCGACGTTAGCAAACACGGGTCTGGCCTATGGCCGAGGAGTCCTGCCTCTCAGGGCCGCGGTCTTTCCCAAAATCATCACTGCCTTTTGGGGAGCAGCTGGCCACATCGACAAGCCACAGCGCAAAGTGGGCAGAGCACAGAATAAGTAGGAAGGCAAACCGCATATTTTGTACAATCCATGGAGCAGCAGGAATAGAAATTTACCCAACAACGGAAGACAGAATAAAACAAGCAGCAGCGTCCTGCTCGGGGCTCTCGCCAGGGGGTTCTCCCCGGCCACGGCGGGGCCCCTCTCTGGACCCCATGGCCTTGGTCGGGCTCCCCACGAAGGGCTCCGACCTCCCCCTGGCCCGGTGACCAGGCCCTGCAGCTCGTGGGTGTCGTGCGCCCCCCGGTTCTCCAGCCCCAGGCCCGGATTGGGGCCACGAGCTCCGGGACCTGCTCTTCGGCTCGCGGCCTTCGGGCGGGTGGTGAAGGCGCAGACGCGGCCCCACAGCGGCCAGCAGCTCCCCAGGGCCCTGTTGTCCGGCCCTGCAGCCTCCGTCAGGGCCCCCCTGCAGGTCCTCCTGGCGGGGAAGGGGAGCCCGGTGGGGCCAGCGCGGCTCCCCGAAGCCCCCCTCACCCCGCGCGTCCTGGCGGTGAAGCGGCCCCGCTGCGCCCCCAGCAGCAGCGCACGGGGCCGGGCCGAGAGCGAGAGCAGCGCCC